ATTACAACTGTAAGCCTACTTTTTTCAAAAAGCCTACCTGTATAATTTTTTGCAGATACTGTCAGATGAAGAAAATTCTTTTGATTCCTAATTTGCAAAGCGGTATTATTTTTATCAATGGGTATTGAATGTAATGTTCTTCTGCTTTTACTTTTTAACTACTATAGTAAATTTCATTGATTTTCAAATATTTGACCAATTCTGCATTCTTAAACCTAATATGGTTGTGATATATTTTCCTTTTTATATATCACTGGGTTTGGATTTTTAATATTGTTTAGGATTTTTAGCATCCATGCTCATGATAGACTGTTGTATAATTTTCCTTTCTCATAACATCTTTGTTTTTGGCATCGATTATATTGTCGTCATAAGTGTTGGGAATTTTTTCCTTTTCTATCCTGTATTTGTGAAAAATTGGTGTAATTTCTTCCTTTAATGTTTGGAGTAATTAATCAAGGAAGTAATCTGAATCAAAGTTTTCTTCACAGTTAAGTCTTTAATATGGACTCATTTTAATAAGTACAAAATTGTTTTCTATTTTATATCATTGTTATTGTTTTAAAATTTTTGAAGCACTTAATGTAATTTTTAAAGTGTTGGCAAACAGTCGGTCATATTAACCTTTTGTTATCTTTTTGATGTCAGTAAACAAGTACAGAAGTTTCCCTCTTCTTTTCTGACACTGGTTGTTGATGCTTTATTTTCTGATCAGTTCTTGCAGAGGTCCGTCAGTTTCACTAGTCTTCAGAAAACCAACTTCCTCATTGCTAAATTTATTGGGGTATCACCTGCTAATTACACAGGTTTTAAATGTACAACTCTGTGTATGGTATACATGTGAATATTACATTGTGTATTCACCACCCAAAGTCAAATCTTGTTCCATCACCATATATTTGACCCCCTTTATCATTTGCTACCCCCATCACCTTCCCACTGGTCATCATGACCATAGTGTTGTCTGTGTCTATGAATTTTATTTGTATGTCTTGTTTGTTCATTTGTCGCTTTCAGTTATATATACTACTCAGCCATAAGATAAAAATACTGCCATTTGCAACAACATGGATGGATTTTGAGAATATATCATGCTAAGCAAAACAAGTCAGAGAGAAAAAGTCAAGATCAATATTATTTCACTCATATGTGATATGAAACTTTTTACTGAGCCTCTCTCATGTTGTGTATTTTATTATTTTCCTTCTTTCCTTTCTGTTTGATATTTTATTCTAACCTTTTAAAATGAATATTTAAGTAATTGTTTTCACCTCTGCTTCTTTTACAAAATATTTAAGGCTTTACATTTTTCTCTTTGCATAACTGTACCCGCAGCCCACCAGCTTTGATAAGCTGTATTTCCACCATTCAGTTCAAATATTTTCTAATTTCTATTGTAATTTTTTTACTTCTGAGTTACTTAGAAATTGTTTATTTCCAATTGTTTATTTCTTACAATTTCCAATTGTAAGAAAATATTTTAATCAACTTTTATTAAGCTGGAATTCCAACTTAATTCCACTAGTCACTGTACACACTCTGAATAATTTCTAATTTTTGAAAACTGTTAGGACATTACAGTCCAGCACATAATCAATTTTGTAAGTTTCTATATGCACTTGAAGTAAATGTGTATCCTGTAGCTGAATGTCACTACCACTTACTTTTCTCTTTAATTGTTGTTCGAGTCGTTTTCTGCCTTTTACCCCCATCCCAGCCCGCCCCCTGCCTCCCACCTCCCCCGTTTCCATCCCCCTTGCTTTTGTCCATGTGTCCTTTACACTTTTATATAATATCCTTTATAGGAAAATCAAAATATTAAAATGTTTTTGAGGATACATGTCTGTACTGATTAAAGTTAAATGTATTAACATATTTACTATTTCAGAATTTTAATAAAATTTATATCCACAAATTTTGTAATTAGTAATATTCAATATCCCATAAATGTTCTTTTGATCAAAGCCATTAGTAATCACAACAAAAATAATTTGACTTCATTGTTAGTAAAATTGCTAAAGCAGAATAGAAAGCATTTGAAATATAAGGATAACAATGTATGGGTTTCTTTCCTATTGGGTTTAGAAATGAATTACATCTAGGGGACTTCGCTAATCCTTTGGCTAACTAGTAGCCTGCTTCGGACAACCCAGTTATATCAAACTTCTAAAAGATCCAAAATTATACTTCAAAACGCCTGTCGGAAATCCATCAAATATGAGAAAATCAGTTTGTGGTATATCCACAATATGTAATTACACTCTCCCCACACTACTGCCAAGGAATCATTTTTGTTAACCTTACTGAGATAATCATGCCTTCTTTGGGATTACAGTGAAATATAATGGCTAAGAACTATGTTCTAGATCTGCAATATCTCAAGCTCTGCAGTGTCTTCCTAGAAGCAGCTACCTGACATCCTCAGAATTAAAGTAGAAAATTCTGGCTCACAATTGGGAATCAAGGTGTAAACCACCCCAAGCTTGTAAACAGTCCAACTACAGAGGGTCATCTATATACTTTCCAATTTAAACTTTCTAAAGGACTGACTTCAGGGAACAGGTGTCATTCCATTTGAGTCTGCCTATTACATCCATACACTAAAATGCTAGAAAGCTTCTTTTTTAAGAAAACTCAACAATTATAAACTTATCTAGTGTATGATTCAAATTTCAAAACCATCCCTATGTTCCCAAGACATAAAATGGATTTTTCTTCTGCCACATTTCTAGTATTACTGAGAAAAATGCAGATTTTAAAAATAGCTTAAATTCTTTTACATGACCTTAACCAAGTTCTCCTGGTAAGAGAATAGATGTTCTTCCAGCACTCACTGACATTCCCCCTAAATCTACTTCTGTTAAGGTATAATGTAAGCCAATAATTAGTATTCACCAAGATACATAAGCTAAGAATCTTAACAACTTCTCTGACTCCTTTTCTTCTTTGTCCTCCACATCCAATAAGCAATACAGTACTATTGGTTTAATCTCCCAAGCACTCCCCAAATCCATCAACTCTTCTAGTGCAAGACTTCAACATCCAGATTAATGCAATGGCCTTCCTTCTGCTTTCTTCTCCCTTCTCATTCAACATGCACACATTCCTATCAGTCATCTTTTTAAAGAATTGTTCATGTCATTCACCTTAATCATTAATGGCTGCTTCTGTTATCTTTGTGATAGTACTCAAGACTTTTAAAGCTAATCCCACCCAAGTATTCCAGCTTCACTGGCCTGTTTTGATAGACCACACACCCTGAGCTCTACTTACAGGGGTGTAGGGGTCCTCCCATCAGTGAGTATACCACTGACTCATGCACCATAACTTTGCAAGTGTGACTCTCTTCAACCTCGAATGCCCCATCTGCCTGTCTTATTTCCTGAATTGCTCCTTGCCTTTGTAAAGTTCAGCTGAGATGTAACCTTTTTTGAAAACTTCTTAGAGGCAACAGAACAAAATAGTTAATGCACCAGTTCTGGAAACGTACAAGTACAGTTTCAATTCTGACCCCATTACTTTTTAAATATGTAACATTGGCCAAGTTATTTAATGTCTCTTTGCCTCAATTCCCTCACTTGCAAAATGGGGATAATAATAGTACTTAAGTCCCAGAGTGAGGATTAAGTGCAGTGTGTTCTTAGCAACATGCCTGACACTTAGTAGGTGTCTAAGAAAAAGTAACTTGAACAGCTTTAATTACTTACCTGACCCCTACTTCCCCACACATTTTAACACCTGTTCCCTTTGGGCTCTTACAGCACCTGGTTCCATGCTACTATTATGGCACTTATGAAAAGGACTATAATTTGTTGCATACATTAGCTCTCGCTAGACTAGTCTTGAGGGCAGGACCTTTGCATTTATCTTAATATCATAACTTTTAGTGCAGTGCCTGACAAAAACCAGAATTTCAGTGTTTGTCAGATGAAGAATGACCAAATGAGTGATCCCACATAAGACTGGAAACACCTTCAAAAAAACTAATAAAAGTGGTAGGATTATAAGTCATCAAAAATGTCCTTTCTACCCACTTTACAAGTTATACAATGTCATATAATTAGTAAAGAGAGTCAAAATTCATTTGTGTATCTGCTATTTGTATGATTCAATAGCCTTAGCTCTTAATCACAATGGTACATACACAAGGCCTGTCTGGAAAATGTCCAGCCATTAATGAGAATGATTTGCACGACATCAATGTAAACTGGCAGCCAAGGAGAGTGAACTGAAAAGCATATGCATGAAAGACTTCACTGTACTAGTGAGAGTGTAGACTCCATAAAGTGAGCTTGTGTACTGCGTGGCCCCTGCATTCAAGATGACTGTGCAGAGATACAAATCTGCATCAAATTTTGAGTTAAGCTTGAATATTCCTCTGTAAAAAATATTTGGATTCAGAAGGCCACAGCTCTAGGCAACTAGCAACTGGCAGCTTCATCACAATGCTCCTACTTGTGCATCACGTCTCATGCAGTTTTTTTCTGAAACATCAAATCACCCAGGTGACTCAGCCCCCCTACAGCCTAGATTTGGTGCCCTGCAACTTTTGGCTTTTCCAAAAACTAATTATCTCCTTCAAGAGGAAGAGATATCAGACCATCGATGAGATTCAGGAAAATATGACAGGGCAGCAATGGTAACTGGGAGAACTGTGTGAGGTCCCAAGGTGCTGCTTTGAAGGGGACTGAGGTGTCGTCACTGTCCTATGTGTAATGTTTCTTGTATCTATGTTCTTCAATAAATGTCTCTATTCTTCCTATTATGTAGCTGGATACCTTCTGGATAGACCTTGTAAGGTCGCTGCATGCTGGTGGCAATGTTTGAGGATTTGATTCTCAGATTTCTCAGAGTCAGATATGACTTCTTTAGCTAATCTATTTCTGACATCGCTATAGGCTCTTAATAGAAAAGCCTGCATTTTCTTGCATTTAGAATTACATATAATTTTAGCCCTAGCAGTGATCATAAGAGACCTAACAAAGAAACGGAGAATTGAGTAATTTGTCCACATACATAGACTTCTAGTTCACATAAAGTTTATTTTAACATGTATGAAATACAGACCCCCTTCTCACATAAAGTCTATCCTACTGCAATGTATTTTTATTTTGTAGCCTACAAAACAATTTGATTATCCTCTTTTATTTGAATTTTATTAGTAAAAATATTCTATTCAGTCCTTAATGGGCAGATTTCCATTCATACAACCAAGTTTCTCTGATGTTCTCTATCAATAATTAGCAACTCTTCCCAGTAGTAAGGAAATATATTATAGAAAAACATATGGTATTCATTTGGAATTTAATTCCTTCAAAATATAAGTTCCATGTTTTGGGCATAAACACTTTACTATTCTCAATTCAGCTTTACTACTTTGCTCACTACAGTAAAAGGAAAACACACCAAAAAAACCGTTGTTTGTGAATGATTAAATTATGAATAATTTTTATTTTGACCTTTAAATTTTTACATGTTTTCTGTAATGACCATTTTCATCCCCCCAACTCTGTGCCACAGCCAAAGCCTTGGTGGCTGAATGGGGTGAGGAAGCCCTCCTCCTGACGGGAGGGAAAACCCAGTATGAGGAGTTAAGAGTTCAAGTGGGGTTAGAAGGGTATCACACAAAGAAAGGAATGTACGTATGTGTGCATCCATTTAAAATATACACATCTGTGTGCTGCATCCACACAAAAAGCTCCCTGGCACTGTCCACTGAGGAGGAGTGGAGGCAGAGGCAGCCCAGTCATCATAAGCACATTTCGTACACAAATAGTGGCTTCTAAATACCAATTTCCACTAAAAGGTGTAAAAATGGCTGATTCCAGTACTGAGGCAACAAGGCAAGTACAAAATAAGTCTGGAAAATCCATGTGCTCAAAAGTAAAAAGTGCATAAAAAATGATGACAACATGTCAAAAGGGCACATAAGCCAGGTTGAAGGGAGCTCCCACTGGCTGACTGTGGAACAATTAGAGTCAAAAGAAATAACAGATAATCCATTGACTAGAAAACCACGAATCACTAATATTCATAAATTAAAATTTTCATTAGGAGCAAGATATATACATAGCTTCTAATTACCTCCCCACAAAATACTTAGAGAAAAAAACAGTTAATTTACAGTGAAGCAGCCCGAAAAGTAGTGCCTTAAGCAAATGATCAACCTGAACATCAGCAGAAATGAGGCAAACTGAAACTGTACACTACCTGATAGGGTGCAGTGAGAACACAAAATTGCTTCTCTAATACCCATGCCAAAAAAAAGCACAACTGGAATCTCATGGTGAGTAAACAGATAAATCCAAATTTAAGGACAGATGCTTTACAAAATAACTATCCTATAGCCTACAAAAATGCCAAGAATAAATAAAGTCAAGGAAAAACTGAGGAACTGTTCCAGGGTGAAAGAAACAAGGGAGGCTACAACCTAAACTAACATATGATTTCGAACTAATCCTTATTGGGACAATTAGTGAAACTCGAATGTTGTCTGAGGATTACATGGGAGTAACAAGTCAGTGTTAACTTCCTGATTTTGAAGCTGTATCATGGTCATGTAGGAGAATTCCTTCTTTTTGGAAATACGAAAATACTGAAGTGCGATGTGTCATCATGACGGCAACTTACTATTAAAGTGGGAAATGTTTATTTGTATAGTATTTACAACACTTCTGTAAGTTTGAAATTGTATCAAAAAGGTTTTTTTAAAGGAGAATGGAGAAAACCAATCCATAAATTATTCTTCTTAGAGTTGATAAAGTAATTCATGATATGTAACTCTAAAAAAACATAACTTTAATTACTATGGACTTTGGACAACTCCTGTGCACATATATGTTCTTCAAAACTGTATTAATTTTGTGTCATTAATTCACTCAGAAATTCTTCTCACAAATAACCTTCAGAATCTCATGTAAGTATGTGCATGCGTGTGCACACACACACATGCTCTCTCTCTTTTCCTGTTAGGATAGTGACATGTTCATAGGTGCCATTTGGTAGAAAGAAGCTATGTGAATTCTATTTTTAAAATCAAACAGAAATGTAGGTATTACTATAAAAATAACATCTCCCCCATGTGGCAGAAATGAAAAATACATCCCACTGGAGAATCCTAATATAAAGGCACTTAGTAATATACCTTATCAAGTATTTTCCCACAATTCCATGTGAATCCTCTAAATACCATACAGCATCTGCAAACAATATACTTAGAGGTAGTTTCAGTTTTCTTTAGGTCAGCGTTTTCCAGATTCTATTTGGATAATATTCTCTACAGTAAAAGGCTGCAGATTTGATAGAACTGCCATAAGAAAACACCAGAGTTCAAAGGAACCAAATTTACCCACAGTATAAAGGTTAAAATGATAGGCAGGTAAAAAGAGATGGCCTCATTCAAAAGCACCTGCCCATTCAAGATAACAGGGACATCAAGAAAGCTTCCTACCTCTCCAAGTTTAATGTAAAAAATTTGAAAGTCCACCACTGGAGATTAATATCTTGGAGTTGGTTCCATCCAATCTTCAGGCTTAGTTTATTAATATGAAGATACTCTGGAAGGATTAAGACATTTTCCTTCACTTAAAATTGCCAATGGTGAGAACAAGAGGAAGTCACTCATCTGAGCTGTAAATGAAGCAACTTATCCCGTATTTCTACCCCTATTCTTAACCCTCTATATTTCTTCCTATTAAGTCACTAGTCACTGATCATTGTTTTACTGACTTTCCAATGATTATAAAGTAAGTGCTTTCTCAAAGTAAACTTAATAACCAATTTAACTTTTAAATTAAAAGTGGCTCAGTTGGATACTGTCTCTTCGACACAGTAATATAAATATTAGCATCATGACTAAAATGAATTATTGACAATTTTAATACATGTTGCACAGTACATATTAATATAGAAAAATACGTTATCAGCAGCATAATGTTGACCATGTTCTAATCCATTCCACCTGCTCAAATATTAGTGCAAATAATTATATATTTGTAATGCATCACTGCTGTCTAGCACAAATCTATGCCTTCTGAATAAATGACTTTCCTCTGAGACTGTTTGCTGTTTGAAGTATGATGTGATATATTCATATTTAAATTGGCTTTGTATGGTGAGGCAGTCTGCAACCTTCTAAACCACTTAGAAAATGAGTAAGTATGGTTAATTACCTGTCTCTCCCCCCCCAAAGTGATAGTATTCATACAAATTGGTTCACTGTTACTTCCCAACTAACAGTGTTAAAGTATAGAGGACCTAGTTTAAAAATATTAATCGTGTTAAGCCCAGGGTTATCGGCCTAGCTGCTTCAAATCACCAAATAAATTTCTTACTCTCTAATGTATCAGGTTTCTGTCTCAAATACACTTGAGGGGTTGTTCCTCCTCTAAATTTGAAAGAGAAAGAACTGATCAGTGGTAAGAATAAAAGTTAGGAGTTAAGGCAACTTTTAAAAAGATTAAACATGCAACTTTTGATACATAAAATGATCACCTATTGTTAATAAACTGAGTACATTTTCCCTCACATTTACACTCCTACATTTGCCATTTAAAAACTACCAATGTGCTAAATAATTAACAGAACTGGCAAACTTATGACATTAAAACACTCTGTTTTTGAAGGCAGAAATACTGATTTCTTTTTATCTTCCAAAGAGTTGTCATTTACTCCCATGTTACAAGATATGGTACAAAATATCTGGACTCCTTCTGTTATAAAATTAGGTGGAAACAATATTATGATTATGTAAAATAATACTCACTAAAGAGAATTTTTTGATTAAAATATTTCTATTAGGTACAAATTTAATATTCATTAAAATTTTATGGCCACTTATAAAAATTTAAAAACCAAATTTAAAAAGTACTGATCACACATTAGACCCACTAAAAAAAATCCAACAGCAAATTAGATACTGAAACTGTGTATGAACTTCATAACCTAAACACTACAAAGAAATATTTGATGAAAAGAAAATTAGATTAAGCAAAATTAATGAGTCTCAAGCAAAATTCACGAGTCTATCAAAAAAAGGAACCTAGTCAGTGTTACACAAGAATTGTGCATTGAATAGTGTGTGTAAGAGTTAGGTTTCAAGCTCAGCCTGGCTATAGACCTTGAACAGGTACGTTATGGAATCAAATGAAGTAATACATGCAAAAGGCTTATCATAGTGCATGGAATTTAAGTCAATAAATGTAGCTATAATTATCTTTATCATGCATCAAAATTTAAAATTTGCTTTTTACTTTATGTAGAATTACTTACTCTAACAATATGGACTGGTCTTTTCCTCCAAAGTACTTATGTATTCAGGACAGAGTTTCTCAAACAAAAAGAAGTACTACAAGAACTGAATACAATTAAACTAAGTGGATGAAAGCACAGAATGTTTGTGTATCAAATGTTCCATTAGGAATCTGAGTCAAAATGGGCAATATATGGGTAATATGCAAAGTATTTTTACATTAAAAAAGTTAAACTCCCAGATGTGAGCTTTTTAAGTCATGAACAAATTATGCTGAGTGAACCTCATTGTCACATACAGTTCAAGCACGCCTCAGGCACTGACTTATAAACACTTACCTACCTTAAGGGGTTTTGTGGCATTTTAGGAACGAAAATTTCTTTATTTAGTTACTTGTAAATATTCAACATCATAGATGAGAAAAGGGAATGTTAAGGAAGCAGAATATTCTCCACTTTGAATCAATCTAGTGGCTGAAAATTCAATTATTTTACTAAGAGCCAGAAGGATGCTATTCAGATAGTGAAATATTTAAAATGAGAAAAAATGGCCTAAAATATACCACACATTAACCTACTTGCAAAAAATTAACCTTCTAGTTAACCTATTAGTAGCTCTTTTTAAAACAAGAAAAATGCGAGGACTTCCGCCAAGATGGAGGCGTAGGTGGGAACACTTCGTCCTCCCACAACCAAATCTAAAAACAACACAGTTTTAACAATAAACACAACCAAACCACACAGAAAATCGAATACGGAGTCCAGAAACAATGGATCAGTCAGCAAAACCAGTGAGAGGGGTGAAAGCAGCAGCGGAGCCAGTCGGGCAAAAAAGATACGGACAGTGCACAGGCAGCCAGGGGCACGGATCCCAGGTGTGGGCTAGCTACGGGCGGAACCCAGGGACGAGGCGCTGCTGGCTGGCTGCAGTTGGTCGCACATTTGCACGCAGATAAACCAGTGAAGAGGCGAGCCTTGAGACAGATCTCGCAGGCCTCAGCAACTGGCGCAGGGCGGCAGACTCGCACCTTTGCCCTCAGATAAGCAGGAGGGGGCGAGCAGTGAGGCGGACTGGGTGAGGAGAGAGGACCGCCATTGCTCCCTCTCTGACCCCGCCCCCACATATAGCGTCACAAACCTGCGACCTGTGTGGCCCTGCCCCGGTAAACACCAAGGCGCCTCTCCTCCTACGTGTAACAGGCACGAACAGACCAAAACACGGCTCAAGAACAACTCAGAGCCCCAGAGCCAATAAATCTAAGCAATGGAGAAATAGCCAAACTTTCAGATGCACAGTTCAAAACACTGGTGATCAGGATGCTCACAGAACTGGTTTATTTTAGTCACAAATTAGAGGAACAAATGAAGGCTAAACTAATTGAAGTGAAGGGAAATGCACAGGAAACCAATAGTAATGGAAAGGAAACTGGGACTCAAATCAAAGGAGTAGGCCAGAAAGAGGAAAAAAATGACCAAACAGAAAAGGATGAAGAAACAAGAATTCAAAAAAATGAGGAGAGGCTTAGGAACCTTCAGGACATCTTTAAACGTTCCAACATCTGAATTATAGGGGTACCAGAAGGGGAAGAGGAACAGTCACGAGTGGAAACCTTATTTGAACAAATAATAAAGGAGAACTTCCCCAATCTGGCAAAGGAAATAGACTTCCAGGAAATCCAGGAAGCTCAGAGAGTCCCAAAGAACTTGGACCCAAGAAGGAACACACCAAGGCACATCATAATTACATTAGCCAAGATTAAAATGAAAGAGAGAATTCTAGAAGCAGCAAGAGACAAGGGGACAGTCACCTACAAAGGAGTGCCTATGAGACTGTCAGTGGATTTCTCAAAAGAGACCTTACAGGCAAGAAGGGGCTGGAAAGAGGTATTCCAAGTCATGAAATCCAAAGACAAACAACCAAGATTGCTCTAGCCAGCAAAGCTTTCATTTAGAATGGAAGGACAGATAAAGTGCTTCTCAGATAAGATCAAGTTCAAGGAGTTGATCATCACCAAGCCGTTACTATATGAAATGTTAAAGGGGCTTACCTAAGAAAAAGAAGATAAAAAAAGATGAAGAGTGAAAGGACAGCAAACTCACAGTTATTAAGAACCACACCGAAAACAAAAGCAAATTAAGAGGACAGCTAGATCAGGAGTGAATCATAGAAATAAAGATCACATGGAGGGTTAGCAACAGGGGAGTGGGAGAAGGAGCAGGGGGGAGAAGGTACAGAAAATAAGTAGTAAAAACAGTAGATAGAAAATAGGGGGGAGGGTAAGAATAGTAGGGGAAATATAGAATCTAAAGAACTTGAGACACGTGTTCATGAACTAAAGGGGGGGAGAATGGTGGGGGAGGGGTGTGCAGGGTGGAGGGGAACAGAGATGGGGAAATAGAACAAATGTAATGGCATAATCAATAAAAAAAGTTAAAAAAAAGAAAATTCACTAAATAGTCTGTTGCAGGTGAGAACACTGAGGCTGAAAAAAAAGTGACTTTTCTAAAGTCACAGCTAATAAGTGGATGAGTCAGGATTTAAATGTGTGATTTAAAAAATATATATTTTATTAATTATGCTATTACAGTTGTCCCAATTTTCCCCCCCTTAAATATGTTATTTTCTGATTAGATCACCCAGGGGTTTCATTTACTCTTTGATTATCCTCTGATTTCTGGCTTCCCTCATTGTCCTGACCTAATTTGGGTTTCAACAATATTTTTTTCTTTTTACTGTGCACAAGCATTAAGTTAGACAATAGCACAAAGAGATAATTTTTAGGAATTGAGCTCTACTGTGCACGCACACATAGACACTGAAAGGCAATGCAAAAGAGTTAGGTCTTTTTTTTTTTTTTAGGTAAGCAAACAACTAGAACAGAAACAGAATCATGAAAATGGAGATCACATGGAGATTTATCAGTGGGGAGGGGGCAGGGAAGAATGGGGAAAAAGGTACAGGGAATAAGAAGTGTAATTGGTAGATACAAAACAGACAGTGGGAGGTGAAAAATAGTATAGGAAATGGAGAAGCCAAAGAACTTGTATGTCCAACCCATGAACAAGAATTAAGGGGGGGTGGGGTTGCTGGAGGGTGGGGTGGTTGCAGGGCAGAAGAGGATAAAGTGGAGAAAAATTGGGACAATTGTAATAACAATCAGTAAAATATAATTTAAAAAGAGTTAGTTTTTGAAATAAAAATTTTAAAAACCTGCAAAAAAAAACCCAAGAAAAATGCTAGGGGCTTGCAACCATGGTAATACCCATAAAATGAGGCTAATAAGTTTCTTGGAATAATCACATAGTCTATTGTTCCATCCAGCTGTTATTTAATAGTTCTTCATAGGGACTATTAATCTATTCTGGTTGAGTGTCTTTCTCCAATGTCATAAAAGTTACACTTCCTTCTTAAATCATGTGCTATATTTCACTTTCTGTACCATTTTATGCAAACATAATATACTCGAGATTTAGAAAAATAATTAATTTACAGCATTTTAGAGCACATTTTCAACTTCAACACATTACCTAAATATTGTTGTTAACTCATGTGGAACTGCAGAAAATTGCAAAGATTATCTTTATTCAAATGTTGGCTAAAGTTACTAATACACAAAGTTTCATTATTGCTACCTAAAATTACCATGTACATATGAAAAACATTTCCCTTATTAATCATTTCTTTTGAGCCATAAATTTCAGGCAAATTTTTTTAGTGGCTGTGAATATCAAAAATGTCTTAAAAATAAAAATATTTCTGCTAAAAACGTAAGAAAACCTATTATAAATAAAAGAAACATCTCGAAAATTTAAAGAAAAATAATTTACAAAATTCAGTATGGATATCCTTAAATGTAAAAAAAAAGTGAAATAAAAAAAACAATTGCAGGGAATTTGTTTATTGAGCATTAATATTAACACTTCTAAATTAAGTAATCACTTATGAGTTCTCTTTGTCACTGCCCTGTCAATGGACATAATGGAAAATATTGCTCGGAACTCAAGCATGTAAATAATAATTAACAAAATATCTATGCAACAAGTATATGTCATACATTTTTTAAATTAATCTAAACAAAATAATTTGACGTGCTTCTTTGTTATGGAAGTCTTGAAATGTTTTCTCATGTTTTATTTGAGATCCACCCCCGACCCCTTTTTACAAATTGACACTGTATACAAGGAGTTCAAATGGCCAGTAAAACTACTGAGTTCAAATTGTTGGCTTTTAAGTAACAGAGGTATAATGTGAATTCACATCAGAGCTTTCTAAAATGGCAATAGTACAAGCATATGACTTTCCCTAGTATCCAAAAACTGTTCTGGTTCTCCCTTGGCTAAGGAATAGAAAACTAGACAGCCTTCTAAAACTTTCACAATCTCCTTAAATGCTTTAATCAATGTTGGCATATTTGTCTTGATCACCTTGATAACACTGGGCTAAACAGAAAATAAGAGAATTCAGTCAAGAGTAACTTAAATAGTAGTAGCTAGCTTTAGACCTGAAAAAGTTTTGGTAAAGTGAATGACCATTAAGAAACAAAAAAAGCAGTTTTCTAAAATTAGGCAAAAAGCCTACATTAAGAGAAAAAAATGCCAAGAATGAATTAAACATTAAAATTTATCTGTTCCCGCAAGAAGAACGGCACAATGAGAGCTGAAACACTACACAGAGTTAAGAATGCATTCTCACAGAGCAAGTTTACAGAGCTAATGGCCTTTCTAAATTTCCACTTGATGCTTCAAATTTTGTAAGTGATTTATTATGTCACCATATCAAGCCGATTCAATTAATTACATTCAGTAGAAACTGCTTCAGAAGTGCCCTGAAAAGATGACAGAAACTATAGATTTAAAAAGCAACTCACTTTGCAAAGCTCATCTCCAGACTTAGAATATCAATTCCCAATTCCTATTAAAATAGAAGACTATCTGCATGTTTAGCCACCCCATATTATTCCAATTTGACTTCAAGATAGAAATTATTAAAGGACTGCATTATTGTTAAACAATGTCAATATTTCTCATATGCACTATTCAGAGTATACCTCATTTTTTTACTTCCCTTATAATATTAAAATAATGAATAAATATGGTCTTTCTGTTAAGGTCCTCCACCTTATCTTAACTGAAATATAAAACAAAGTAGTTTTATTAATTTCTTGCTAGCAATGACTTAAAAATCTGTTTACCAAATAAGAAACAGTGAACTTTAAATTGTGGTTTTTTTACCCAGAAAGCAGATATATTCTAATTCATTCCTAATATCTACATAAAACATTTCATCATTTTAGTTTAGTATGTAACATTTTTCTGAAAATAGTACTATGGTTGTACCTCAGAAGAAATCCAATCAACCAAGGAAATTATGCTCAATTGTTAACCTTTTGAAAGAGGCAAAAAGTTCTCTAGGAATACTTAAAATAACTTGATTAACAATTACTGGTGCTGAAAGGTCATTAAAATTGGTAAAATACGATGGTGAAATTTCCCAATGGAATATGTTAAAGAACGTGAACTGGAAAACTGGTAACATCTCATTTGCCTTCTGACCCTAAGATTTTTCAGGATGAAAACCATGACATATAGTGTCACAGAATTTGAAACTTATATGTTCAAGAATGATATTAAAAATCAACTTAAGAGTAAAAAAAACAAAATATGGCTACTAAGTGTCCAAATTTAAAAACAAAAATCTCAAGGGTAAGTATGGCTGCTGTTTTTCCAAACAGTCATTTTTCCATAAAGTGTTGGCTATGTCGTAAGAAATCTCCTGTGCTTTCTATCAACCAAGGCCTGTTGAAGTACAACACACTTTCCTTACAAATTCAACCTCAGCTGAAATGTCGAGCAAGACGGGCAGATCTATAGTCAGCACGAAGTTGTACGAAGGAGTGAAGAATGTTCTTGTCCAGGTTAGCAAGTTGTTCTCCTGAGCAGACTTGCTTTAAATTATCTGGGGCAACTACCAGAAGATTGCAAAGTGCATGCAGAGTATCAAAAAGCTGTAATACCAGTGGAATCTAAATTGAGATAAGAAAAAAAACAAAACATTGAAACAGTGATTTCTAGTTTTATGGTTAGTAAATTCTTCTCACATAAACAGTATTGGTCAGGATTTACTCAGGGTTCAATATATTAGAACTTCTGAAAGCTCCTGAAGCGTTAAAACTCAAATATTTCAGTCATTACATAAACTCTGCTATAATCTTTCTGAAAAGATACATATTTTGTGAATTTTCTTCAATAGTAATAATCATTTATACTTTTGTGGACTAGAACTAGTTATTAATTTAGCACTTTTCTTAAATAATTTAAACCTTAGAAAAAGTGATTTCAGGGAGATGTACACGAAGAAAGGACATATTCTGCTGATGCGTGACATATACAGTATTAGTGATGGTAAGTGAACAAGTTCATTTGGACTAGAAGAAAGAAATATGGTCTTGTTTAAAAATAAAGCATGAAGCAAAAATGTGTCAATATGGAAATATCATTAGAACAATACTTTTTCAATTAGGAAATGTTATTCTCATTAAGCAACAATAAAATGTGTGAACTTTTCTACAAACAATAGATAAGTCAGTACAGATTTTTAACAGTCTGACATGTTCTTGAGCCTATGTATAAGTTTGATATGTGTGAATACGTACCTTGAAGTCTTTGGCACACTTCCTATATTCAGCTACATCACAAATTGCTAACATGCCACCCATACAACTGTAGGAGTATTGTTGAAGGTGCTCATAAATAAGTCGATGAAAACGTACTCCAAATTCCATCAAAACTGTATCTACATTCTTCCCATCCATGGAATTTTTAATCTTCTCCACTTGTTTTCTTACATAAGCACAGACTTTAACACAGGCCTGTAAAATTTTTTCTACACTTATTACATAGAAATGTGTACCATGTTAGCTAAGGAGAAAATATATATTGTTTTTCATTAATCTCTAAGTATAAAAAGAAAAAAAAACTTAAGACTACAGTAAGAAAAACCAATGAAAATGATAAACGTATTAAGAAAGCACATATTTCTTACTAACATATTGAATCATTCTACTCACATTAGTATACTGAATCAAAACATTGTTTTCATCTTCTGGCTTAAAATCTGTTTTCTTTTGTTCTGCAGCCAAGATATGCTTCATCTGTCCAATCATACAATTTAATGTTCTAAAGAATTGAGAATAGCAGATATTTAATCCATTTATTTTTATTATTTATACTAAATTAAATTAAAATTATTAAATGTAATATCACCATAAAACTGTTTTACTATTGTTAGACTTTAGTTCTTAGAAAAAGTAAAATCTAGGTCTTGATGTCAAAGAACTCATGGTTCTATTAGCTTCCTGCTCAAAAGGGGGTAAAAATTCATTTGCCAAATAATTTAAATCTTTAAAAATTTTTTTAAATTTATTTATCTTTAGAAGGGAAGGGAAGGAGAGAGGGAGAGAAATATCAATGTATGGTTGCTTCTCGTGCAGCCCCTGCTGGGAACTGGCCTGCAACCCAGGCATGTGCCCTAACGGGGAATCGAACCGAGATCTTTTGGTTCGCAGGCCCATGCTCAATCCACTGAGCTACACCAGCCAGGGCTAAATCTTTAAAATATTAGAAGCCTGTCACTTATTTACTTACTTAACAACTACATATAAAGAATACTTAGGAAAGGGAAAAGAGAGGGCTTAAGAATTGCTAAGGTCTGGAAAAGCAGGTAAGAACATATGTTTCATAGTCCAAAGACAAGCAGGAGGCTGGGGACAAGTAATACTGAAGACTCAGATGAGAAATGAAAGCATAGGTTTATAATAGCAAACGATGTTTGAGTTTTATGATGTTCTCCAATAGCAATCAGCCACCCAGTTATGGGAATAGAAAAGACGGCACTGATTCATGGTTTAGGATCTCTAAGACAGTTACGGTTAAAGAAAATGGGCTTTAGGGTAATTATGAGTAATTCAAGGTTAGATTGCTTGGAGCAAGCAATCTAAGCACAATAATGAATGAAGTAAAACTAGGAAAAGAAAAACAGATTAGCAAAAGATGAAGAATTCCAGCTGAGGTCAGAAAGCAGAATAGGAGATTGTGAGCACTGAGCGGGATTACTCAGGTTCATGGTTTTTGTTACCAATGGTAACAAGGTCTAACAATATATGAAAGTAGGCAGGTAAGTGGAGGTGATCAAGAAAAAGACTTGTGTCACACACATGGAGGTGGAAATAACCCAAGAAGGTTTAAAGAAAAATTTCATGAGGCAGATGCCCAAATACTTAATAAATTTGGGAAGCTGACATAAATGAGTGAGTCACAACAGCAAATGAAAAGTGAAGATGATGTGAGCTTCAAAGGCAAAGGAATCTGGCCTACCAGTAGATGGATACTGGTCTGAAAATATCAGGAGGGTTACAAATGAATGCTGAGTTCACCCCTTGGCCTCACTGTACATTGGTGTAAAGAAGAATTGGAAGTTCACATTCAACAGACCACTACAGACCCCTGTGCCTTCAATTATACAACTAATACAAAGACTTTGAGACAAAGGCTTATATGCAAAGACAAAAAGAAATCACCTAATACATATATTAAAAAGGCAACTAGGAAAATTGTATTTCCTATACTTTTAACATATTCAACTTCCCCACCTCCCAAATATGATTTTCAGGTATTCTGAGGCAAAGCAAGAAGAAACAAGTTAGTATGGGGGATTTATGTTATAAAAACACATACTTTCTTACAGTGAGGATTATAATGTATACATATACACTTTTATTTTATTGAAAGAAGTTTTGTGTAAACATAATCTCATGCGGTCCTGATTGAAACCAAAGGGAGAGACCAGTTTTTGGGATTCTTCTAAGCATTTAATTCTTCAGTAAACTAGTCTCAGTAATTAATTCTATAACATCCTTATTTTTTCCGTTTTATTCTTCCATTTTATTTTTTCCCCTTATTAGCACATACTCTATGGCAGTTCTTTTTTTTTTTTAAAGATTTTATTTATTTATCTTTAGAGGGGAAGGGAAGGAGAGTGGGAGAGAAACATCAATGTGTGGTTGCCTCTCATGCAGCCCCTGCTGGGAACTGGCCTGCAACCCAGGCATGTGCCCTGACTGGGAATCGAACCACGATCCTTTGGTTCACAGGCCCACACTCAATCCACCGAGCTACATACACCAGCCAGAGCTCTATGGTAGTTCTTGATCTTAATGAGAAGTTAATTGAGAGGTGAGGTACAAGTTTGTTACTACTAATAAAGTAAAAAATTTATGTAATTTTAGGGAGAAAGAGAAACAGAGAGAGAGAAACACCAATGTGTGAGACAAATACTGACTGGTTGCCCTTTGCATGCCCCTAGCTGGGGACTTACCCCACAAACCAGGCATGTGCCCTGATCAGGAACTGAAGGCGACCTTTCGGTTTGCAGGCTAATGCCCAATCCACCGAGCCACACCAGCCAGGGCTATTTACTTTTTAATAAAATAGAGTGGATTCCAGGTTTTCTTTATCACAGCACAGTAACTAACTTGCATTCAAATATGCTTTCTTGAGTAGAAAAGGAGTCGAATTATAGTAAATAAAAAAGATATGCCCAGACCTAGTAAAAGGAGCATCAGAATGAGCCCCAGATCTACCAACATTAACTGAGTGATATTTAGCAAATGGCCTAATTTTTTTAAGCCTCCATTTCCTCATCTGTAAAATGGAAAGATATTTCCTACCTAATAAATAAAATAATACAAGCAAAAGATCTTTTCACTATGCCTGGCCTAAAGCAAATGCTTGATACATGGTAGCTATCATAATCATTAATAAATACATGCCCACTATCACCTCAAAAGAAAAAAGAGAACCACTGCTTTACAGTATAAATAGGTAATTAACTACAATAAATATTACAAAATTATTTTGAATGGAGAATTTGCCTTCACTTAGTTACCTTTAGAAAATGTTTGTTTACTTATTTACTTATTTATATTGATTCCAGAAAGAGGGGAAGGGAGTGAGAAAGAGAGGGAGAGAAACATTAATACAAGAGAGAAACATCAATTGGCTCCCTATTGATGCATATGCCTTGACCAGGGACCAAACACACAACTCAGGTACATGCTCTGACTAGGAATCAATCCTGCAAACTCTTGATTCATGGGTGGACACCCAACCAACCAAGCCACATCAGCCAGAGCAGAAAATTAGTGTATTTACTAGTGTAAGCCTGAAAATTCTAAACGAAAATAAAATCCCCGTTACATACCATTTTTAAGGAGTTTGGAGAGTGTGTGTGTGCAAGTGGAGGAGGGGCTGATTACAAAAAAAGTTTTTTTTAACTAAATTTCATTTAAAAGTAAATCTAAACACACTGACTTCCAGAAATAATAAGGTTACAAATCCAATAAAAATAACGTTCTAATCAACGTGTAAAAATTAAGTCAAATGGTGAAATTAAGATAGACATTTTTCTTTCCTGAAAACCATTTTATGGTGCTAGAATAGTTTTTATAATTAAAAATGTAAGAGGAAAAGTAAAACCAACAACTTGCCTATCAATGCCAGTATCCAATTTCATCTCCATTTGTTCAATTATTTCTTTTTTCTTCTGAAGGCATTCAGATAACTTAGGAGAAGAGCTATTGAACATTTAAAGAAAAAAATCACATTAGTAGTCTTACAATTCTGTTTTTCATATTCATGTGTGTATTGCTATATACATTTATATAAACCTACACATTAAGCTCACAAATGGAAAACACAAGTTATTAAGTAATCATAGCTGACCTTGAACAACATAGTTTAAACCGTGTGGATCCACTACTAAGTGGACTTTTTTTTTTTTTTTCAGTAAATACTGTGTATGTGTTTTCTCTTCCTTATGATTTTAATAACATTTTCTTTAGCTTACTTTAATGTAACAATACAGTATATAATACATATAACATACAAAATATGTGTTAATCTACTATTTATCTTATCAGCAAGGCTTCCAGTCATCAGTAGGATATTAGTAAAGTTTTTGGAGAGTCAAAAGTTATACAGATTTTCAGCTGCAGGGGTGGGTGGGACAGAGTGGGGATAGCGTCCCTAACTCCCTCATTACTCAAGGGCCAACTGTATTTATAATGGTCCATTATAATGGTCACACTAGTAAAACTTAACCAGTTAATGAAGAAAAGGAAGATTTAGATATGTTACTTTTATCTCTGAGAAGACATCCCTTAAGAATATAAAAATGTGATTTTGAAATTTTGAAACTATTTGGTTTCTTTGTTAATTAGATTTCTGGTATAATAGTAAGAAAAGTCACAGACTATCACCAGAAACTTAAGACCACAGTAAATTACACTAATTAAAATCTGGAGACTAACAGTTATATTTAGCTTTCTTATATTAAAAAACAAACAAAACACCTGACAGTCCTATTTGCCTTCTGAATGCCACCTAAATGTCAAAAACACCAAAATGATAAGGAATGTATTCCCTAATAGTTACGTGAATTCTCTGCCACGTGGCATTATAGCTGTTTAAAAAGTAAATTTCCTTTCAAAGTGATTCTGAGATCACAAGTAATCTTTATCTTTGAAACTGTTTCTGGACTAATTTCTTAGCATATCAATGTTATTAGCAAAATGTCTGAAATTTTACCTTATATACATTCCTCCACTTTAATAACAATAGTACTACACATACAGTTTTATAAAGCAAGTTAACATATACACTACTTAATTTAATCCTCATGTGCTTTAAAAGTTCACATAAATTGACAGGAACATATAAACCAAACTTTACTTAATGCCCCATCAAAACCTATTAATCTCATAAAAATTTGTACTGATGTCCTTATATGACAAAAAGTGGTTATAAGCTAGACATCCTATTTCACATCAGATGTAGGTTGATGACAGACTCAGTCTTTTCAAATAAACCAAAATTAACACCAGAGAAGTGAGAGAAAATAGGAGGCAAGGAAGAAGGAAAAGAATCTTTACTTTTCATTTCACACTTTCCTGCCCTGTTTTATGTTATTATTAATATGTATTGCTTTTTTAAATTTTATTTATTTGTTTGTTTGTTTGTTTGTTTGTATTGCTGTTCAGGTACAGTTGTCTCCATTTCCCCCCGTCACTCCCCCCAACCCCAGCCATCCCCACCTTCCACCCTCGATCCTACCTTCTTTTGGCTTTGTCCATGTGTCCTTCACACATGTTCCTTGACAACCCTCCCCCCTTTTAATATTTAACAAAAAGATATATAGGATATTATAATGGTTATTAAAATACCAATAAAAATTTAACTAACCTTATTAGTGGCATAAGGTGGTCATTAAACTGCTTGTCAAAAAGATGGAAAATAGTGTTGGCCTGTTGCACAACATCCAGAAAATAGAGATTTGCATTTCGAGAATCTGAAGAGGGAATTCCTAAAGTTGGAAGGCATGTATATGTTAGTCATGCTTTAAGAAGTTTACCTTGGCAACAGATAAATGCATAGTTTTATGTATACATATGAATAAAAGTAACTGCTGTTTTAATAAACTGACAATGATTTCTATAGGCAGAAGAGTAAAATTAAACTTGTTCATCAGGTAACAAAATGTACCCAAAGTTTTCATGCCCAGATTTTCACCATTTACTCACTCTTCATTATTGGCTGAGATAAACTAAAAAGTAGATCAATAAATGTATCATCTTAAACTCTACCTTTTCCTTCCTCTTCCCACTCTCTTGTGCCTAATGATTCACTTGAGCCATGAACATTATGTCTACCACTTTTCTTACAGCCAGGCCTCTTTATTTCTGAGAACAGTTAAAATAATTTTCCTACTAGCTTCCTGGTTCAAGTCTCTTTATTTGTTATGCCATAGCAACATACTTATACTTACTCATTGCACTCACCATGTTCTCCACTACTACCTGAAACATATCAATTCTTCTCACTGTCTAGAGAATAAATTCTTAATTTTCAGTATGGTATTCAAGCCACTTCACATTCTGGTCCCCCTAAAATAAAGCTGACCATTCCAAATTTCAATTCCCTCTTTTGTGTAATAGTAAACTCTTAAGGTCTCTCTAACCCTAGATACTTATATTTCTAGCTAAAACTAAAAGGTATAAAGGGCTAAGAAAAATATTCACAGAAAATGAAAAAAAAATTTAACACCCAAAATTTATTATAGGATAATGACTTTTTTCAGTTTTAAAAATGAAAATCAAAGGTGTTTTATTTTCCCACAAAATACAAAATTACTCATTTGTAAGAAAATTAAAGGCTCCAACACAAACATACAAGATAAAAAAGTAAGTCAATACACATGTAAGAAATACTAATCTGTGTTAATGAAAGACATGAAAATTAAGGCAGTAAGTATATATATGTTAATCACTAAATTATTAAATTTCTTAAAAGAATATTCAGTAATGTGCAGAAACACTGCTACAGTCATACCTGACTGTAGCAGTGTAAAATAGTGGGGGAAAAACTCTTTAGGAAAAATAGTTTCCATATATAAAAATTAAAAAAATTTGTAACACACTTTGATCTGGTTATTTCACTTCTGGGATTTTATCCAAAGAAAATAATTCAAAATAAGGAAAGCACGTTAAGCACTACAATTTCACTGTAGCATTATTTATATTAATAAATTGCTGAAGAGATTCAGTATGTCTAATAATAAGGGATGGTTAACTTTATAATATATACATGTGACAGAATTTTAGCCAATCAGTAGAAATAATAACAGTAAGTAGTAACTAAATAGATGCATGGAAAATATTTATGAATATAAGGGACATTCTTATTCTACCAGGAAATTTTCTAAGCCCTTCAAAATTGTGAATACTGCTATTAAAATGAAGAGGCTAAGTTTCCACACTAGCTAAATAACAAATCATTCATACTATATGGATTTTAGTTCATGTTACTTTTTTCATTAACTTTTAAAATCTTTATACCTCTAAGGTATTATTATCCCAATACAAATCACCACATTTTAAAGTCATTTGCAAAAGGTAAATGTTAAAATACTCTTGACATCTCTTGATGTCAAGAGACAGCTGTAATTAAACAAACAAAAAAGGATGCAAATGCTTATCTATATCATGAGAGCAACTATATAAAAAATGGGTAACAATAAACCACAAGATTACTAAATCACAGGTCTTTTTGCTTCAATGTTAGAAACTTTATGGAATAATGTTATATACAGTCAATAAGTATTTTTGAGTGTCTGCCCTGTGCTTCCTAGGTGCTAAACTATAATGGTGAATAACACACATAAGATTCCTATCCACAAGACCTTATATGCTGTTCTCTGTACTTAAAATACTCTTTCTTCAAATACTCAGTTTACTCTTCAACTTCATTTAGCTCTCTGGTATATGTCTACTCAGAGAGACATCCTTTCTAAAAAAGCCCTCTGTCCTTGAATATCCCTTCCCACCTCCCCATTACTACTCTCTATCTATCCCTTACTCAAATTTTATTTTTCTTAGTTATTTGTCTACCTTTTCCACAAGAATGTAAGCCCCATGAGTATAGAAGTAGGCACTTAATAAGTATGTACTGAATTAATTCTGGTGAATGGAGGCATTCATTAACAGATGAAAATTTAATTGTGATAAGTGCTATGAAAAAAGCTAACCCAGTGATGAAATGATGAGTAGGCTAGACGAGGAGGGCTCCTTTACCTAGGGCGATCAGCAAAGGCCTCTCTGAGAAAGCGATCTCTTAGTTGAGGTAAAAAAATCAAAAAGCCAGACACGAGAAGAGCTGAAGGAAAAGGATTTGGGATGGGGAAAAACCAAGTGTCAAGAGCCTGAGTGAAGAAGAATGAATGCCAGAAGCACTAGGGTAACGAGGGGAAATGCCTATTAAGGATGAATACGTATGAGGAAACCAGACCAAAAAGCCGTGCTTCTTTAAAGAGCTTGTTGTGATTCTCCCCCTAAGAGTAACAGGAAGCCACTAAAAGGTCTTAAACAAGAAAACGATAACTGTTACGTGGCGTCAGTAATTTGGAGAGGCAAGAATGAATACAGGGAGATCAGTCAGGAGCAGACACAGGTGGTGTTTAAATTAGTGGCATCAGTGAGGATGGAGAAAAGTAGATGAATTTGAGTTATGTTTGGAAGTGTGTATCAGGGTTGAAGAAAAGGAGGAACTGTGGCAATTCCACACTTTAAGACTTAACCGGTAAATAGCAATGCCCTTTAAAGATGTTGCGAAGAATAGGAGAGGAATAGGTTTAGGTGGAAGATAAAGTGTTTCATTTGGGATATGTTAAACTTGAGATGCATGGTGAACAGTGGAGAGGTGAAAAAGGCAACTGGATTAATAGGTCTAGGATTTAGGAAAGAAGTTATCAATACCCTATTAATGCATAGCTTTCAGCATCTGACAAATTCTTGCACTACAAAAGCTCAGAATACATTCATTGCACTGAACTGAATTTGACATGTAGAGTTGAATATATATAAAACATTACACATTCATTTAACCAAGCAGGATCAAAGGAATTTAACACAAATTATAACACAGATAAATATACTTACCAGCAAGTCCCGTTTCCAAAGCATAATCAATATGCTCAATACATAAAAATTCCACAAGAATGGTAAAAATTCTAAAGGCATTCCGTGGTAGATCAGAAGGATCAGAGAGCTTTAAAACAAAAACCAAATACATCACTTCACAAGTCTACCTTAAAAAAAAAAGGCAACTCTTTTTTTTTAATCAATCAACTTTGTATAAGTGGTAGTTGATATTAAGGTACCAAAATAGTAACTTAGACCTCTTCCTCCCCACTTCCAGTGCCTCTCTCACATACATATAACGCTCCATATTCACCTACAACTCTCCTGGCTTAAACTAGATCAGTGGTTTTTTTTGACCTGGGAGAGAGAACCAACAGAAAATAAAATGTAATAAAATCCCTTTTAACGTACACAGTAAAACCAAATATAGTTTCATGAAATACACATGAACACATATACATATAACAAAAGTACACTGGGCTGCCCTGACTGGTGTGGCTCAGTGGGATGGGCGCTGACCCACAAAGCAAAAGGTCGCCAGTTCAGTTCCCACTCAGGGCATATGCCTTGGTTTATAGACCAGGTCCCTGGTTGGGGGTGGGCAAGAGAGGCAACTGATCAGTGTTTTTTCTCCCTCACTCTCCCTCCCTTCCCTTCCCCTCTCTCAAAAATAAACAATATCTCAAAAATAAAATGTACACTGGGCTGCCAAGTAAAGTGCGTTTCTTATTGTGGAGCATAATCAAAAAAGCTTAAGAACTACCAACTGAACAAAGGCTATTCTAGCAATACTCGAAATAAAAAAAATACTCTTTATTTTACTGGGGGTGGAATAGGGAAATCAGTAATCTGAGGCACTATAAAATATGAAAGGTTCAAATCCAAGCTTCATCACTTCTTACTTGAGTGAACCCTTGAGATGTTACTGAACTCCACAAAGCCTCAATTTCTTCATTTGTAAGGTGGGAATAATATGAATGGTAATTATATCCTAGCCTTGAGGTGAAAATAAAATATGAAAGAAAATGCATTTAAAGTACCTTCAGCAGTGTTTAGCACATAGTAAACAAATAACAATAAATGTTCATTTTCATGTTGATGCTGCTGATTAACTATTCAGTAAAAGAATTATTAGTAGTTACCTGGAAAAATAAAATCCCTCTTAAAAACTTAGAAAGTTACCTCTCAACTTCTTATAAATGCTTTCTTCATTATTTATCAATTGATTGTTGCCTACTTGTAGGCTCCATTTATGCACCTTATCAGAGTAATGCTTATTACCTGATATATACAGCTAGGAGTGAAGTACAGAACCCACCTTAAATCCCCTAAGTCTCCACTGATTATAAAAACAGATTTAGTATTACTCAACTCCACTCCTGGTCTTCTTTAATACCATCCAACTTTTACCCTCTATACCACAAGCCTCTCTACCACAGCTCTCACCTCCCTTATTTGCTCACAGATGCTCTACAACAAACACCCTTAATAAGCCGTAAAGAATATAGAACTATTAAAAAATAGTAACAAACAACCCAATTTCAAAAATGCACAAAAATATAGCAAAGAATATATATATGGATGGAAAGATGCTCAACATCACTAGTTATTAAGAAATTCAAAATAAAACCATAATGAGGTATCACTATACACCCTATTAGATTGTCTAAAAGTAAAAGGATTCATCATACTAAATGCTGCAGATCATCTAGAACAAATAGAACACTCACACACCACTTGTAGGAATGTTAAAGGAAACCATAGCTTTGGAAAATAGTATCTGAATGACTACTACCACATTGTTACTAGGTATATACTGAAGAGCAATTAAAGCATTATCTGCACAGAGACATATGAATGAATTTTCATGGCAAATTCATTCATAATACTTAAAACACTGGAACCAATCTAAACCACCAATAGGTAAATGGATAAACTGTAGTATATTCATGTAATAAAGTACTACTCAGCAATGAAAAAGAACACACTAATTAATACACATGACATGGATGAATCTCAAAATAATTATACTGAGTGAAAGAAGCCATAATCACATGTACATGCTATAATATACTAGAATTCCTCTTATTAAAAACAATTCTAGAAAATTAATCAACTCCTTGAAGACATCCTATTTAGCTTTTATGACTTAGTCCTCAAATGACTTAGTCCCCTTCTTTTAAAAATCTAATCTATAGTGATATATGGCAGATCTGAGGTTGCCTGAGGATAGAAGTGGAGAGAGGGGAACAGGAGCTTATATCAGTAAAAGAGCAACAGTGAACTTTTTGGTGTGATGAATCTTTTCATTATCTTGACTGCAGTTATAGCTTCAAAAGTGGACACATAATTTATCAAAGTTAACAAACTGTTTTAATATAGTTTACTGAATGTCAATTATGAATATATCTCAAAGTTATTTTTAAATAAGTAAATAAAAATCAATCTGCTTACTCATTACACTTCCCTTTTTAGTATCCTTTAAATGCTGCCACATCAACTACAAGGTCAGGTCCAAATTTCTAAGCTTAGTATACAAAGAGTTTTTTCCTACCTTTTCAACCTCCTCTTATTACTCTTTGCATGTACATTTTAATTTCAAACATTTTATGCTGCATGATTGATCTCTGTGTGTCTTTGTACTATTCTCTTTGCCTGAAACAACCTGCCAGAATCACCTTCTTAAAGACATCCTATTTAGCTTTAAAGATCCAGCCCACACCACTTTTGCCCCACCCTATATAATGTTGACAGCTACATGTCAAATGACCTGAGGCTTTAGAAATGTTTTAAAATATTTTCAGCATTCAGAAAATTAAAGATATTACTGTATCAAATATGCCCATCAACCCACCCTGGTGTATGATACCATAACATTTTAACAAATGTATTTCTAAATAATTTCAAAGTAATTTAGTCTTCCAAAACAAAATCCTATATATTTTTAATAAAAATAGTCGTTCCTAACCAGAGAGCAGATTTATATCTTAATATAAACAAGGCAAAACTTAAAATATACAATTATTCTTACCCTGTGACATCTTTCAAAGGCTTGTTTGGTTTCTTGTAAAAGATTAACCACCACTTCTTGGGACAGAAAGGTTTCCCCGTGAGTATCGATACTTGGTCCCAATGGTAAGTTGGTACGTTGTCTAATTCTCTCTTTCAAATCTTGAATACTAGAGCATCATATCAATAAATTTAAAAAACACTTCAGTATACATAGATTTCAACTTTAAATACTCTCAAACATAGTATGTATCAACAACAACAAAAAAAAACTGACCAATAGCCAGGAGACCTAAAAGTTCTAATTCTAATAATTACTTCTGTAAAGAAAGGTAAGCCTTAAATCTCTAAACAGACTTTCATCTGAAAAATTAGGAGATTTAGAATTATGATCTCTATTTAAGCTCTAGAATTTTGATGCAGTAACCAAAACTCTTTGTTCGGTTTTATAGCAAGTGGGCTTTTCCAAATAAGGTAATATTCCACATAATAAATGGTCCTGCTTAAAATAAACTTTAAAAAATTTATCTTTTAAAAATATATTTAACCATTTAAACACAATGGTTATAATAATCTCAACAAATGTATTGCACATTTCTTCATTATTAAACAAGATATATCGAACATGATTTAGCTTTTCTTAATGACTAAGGATCACTTTAAACATTATATGGTGGTATCATCATCATCATCAGGTTAGACTTGGGTTTTTTTTTTGCTCCTAGAACATATAGCTCTAGATATTTTTCTTGAATTTTTATGACGGTTCTTTAGTTTTTATCTTCCTTTACTTACTACTTCTTTCAGATGTCAATTTTTATTTCTAATTATAACCTATCCCTGATCACTATTTAATGTATGACAAACTGGGAAATAAGAAACTGAATAGGGTGTGCATGTAAGTGGACTCTGAACCCTGATTATAAGATTCCAGAGAAGTCATTCTGCTTCATCCTAGAATCAGCTGGGGCTCTAGACAGTTGTAGTCTGGATTAGTGAGGTGCTACCCCTATAAATCATGAAGTAATTTATACCAAATCACATTCTTCAAATGTGTGAACAATCACAAGTTTTAAGGTATTAATTTTATGCACAAGTCATTAAAAAGTTCAGGGTTTCTTTGCTTTCTTTCACACCTACAACAATCAACAAAAAAACAATGTGCTTCCTAGTTAACAACCTGGAATACTGTACTGAGTTTGAAAATAAAAAAGAACCCATAGAGCTATATATAGTACTGGTATTCTGCTGTACATTTTAATTATGTTATGTTAGGTCATTTTCAACAGGTGATTCAAGAGATAGGATTTGATCAACAGTATAAACAAACTGGGTTGAAAGCGTTTTTCAAAGAAAATTCCAATGGCTAAATATCTGACAAGTTTGTGCAAATATAATAAAATTCTTAATATATTTAGTCTTAATATATAATATTTAACAGAAACACTCACCCTCCTGTGCCAATGGATCTCTTTTGATGGTTTTTTGAATCATAATAGCGCTGTAGGATCATAGCACTTCTGCTTTTCAAATATCCAGTCTCCACCTCAATATAGTTCTCCAAATAGGAAATGAAAATGGATTTGATAAGCTTAGACAAGAAAGTCTGTTTATCAGTACCTAAGTTAAACTCCATCAACTTGCTGGAAAGATTCGTGGTTCTTTTCACAGAAGAGGAGGAAAAAAGATTTATATTTTAGGTATAGTAACAATAATAAGGAATATATATTTTAACAATGCGACTTTAATAACTTATGTTAAACCATCATTCTTAAAATTTGCTAAGGTACTTATTAGGAAGCAGAGAATAGCTGTATAGGGTTATATAAACTAGAATGAATATTACAAACAACATTATGGGGGTTTTTTGTTTTGTTTTCTTTTTCTGCAGTTTTTATTAAATTATTGAAGTTCAACTGGTTAATGTGATTATAGGTTTCAAGTCAACATTATGGCTTTGAAAGCTTCCATGAACTCCTAGGGGTGACTTAGCAGAGGAAACTGAGGAAACCAACAACTCCAGAAATGGCAACCAGTGGCACATGGCTTCAAGTATGCTCCAATGCCATTTGTGCAGGACACGGTACACAAGCCAGAATACTGAGAGGTCTGGTCTCTGATCATTCTATTTTATGTTTATCCATGTCGACTTTTCTCTACTTTTGTTTCCCATTGTTGAAGATAGGCTCATAATAATGTTGTTACTGATAGAAACTTTCAGTTAGATTATGGTTCCTTTTTAAAACTCTCCTCCCAAAAGGATGACACTGAAGAATAAGCAATAGGGTTAGGTAAAAACTCTAAATGAAGCTTCTGATACAATATGTCTAAGTTTATAACACTGCTGTTTGCTAACAAACAAAAAAAAAGACAAATTCTCACATGATACTTAAGGTTGAAATTGTCATTTTAAAAGAATTTGTCACTTCCTTTCTCAATTTCTAAAGTTTTAACTACAGATAAATGTAATTATACTACTTCTTGGAGAAAAAATTAAAGAACAATAAACTAGCTTAGAATTCAAATCAGAAACAAAATTCTCAAGTTTTAGTTTAAAGAAGGTAAACAAAGCTTTGTTTCATTCAAGTACACTAATATAAAGCATAATACCCAATAACTTAATGTACTAAGAATACTACAGAACACTAGCCTATACAGCCAAGCATTTAATGCTAAAGGCATGTTGCTATCTGCCAAACTGTTATTCAAAAATACCTAAATACTCTCCCCCCATTTTCCAAAAAACAAAATCTAAGATCTGCTATTATTTTCTAATAATTAAAAATATACCTTGTATATAAATCATAGAGATTTTTGAGATACTGCTCTGCATCAGACTTCCTACATTCTTCTAATTGGTCTTTCACAAAACTCTAAAAAAAAAGTCAACATTTTGTCAATTAAGTAAATACTAAATTACATAGTCAAGATGTATTTTTGTCTGAAATTAACTTCACATTTTTAAAATGTTTTGACTTACAGTTCAATGAAAAAGACAATGCACATAAAATACACCAATATAAAAATGTAAGAAAACAGGTTTAAAAATTTACCACTATATTTACTAGTCCATCTAGATCAGTTTTGGGAATAAGTATTAAGAATTTCAAAATATCCTTGTTTTTTTTTTTTTTTTAAAAAAGGCCTATCCTGACTCATGAAGTACATTTTAAAAACAACAACAACAAAACCCCATTTACCACTGCAGTCAGTTCCTGAAAGCAGCACTTACCAAACTACAGTCTTGGTAGCATTAGTGTCCATTGAGACACTAACAGGCATTACTCTAAAGCTGGGAAATATTATACATTACACCACCACCCCTCCCAAAGAACCACATACACATTAGTACCTTTAAAAGCTATTTAAAAACCTGATTTGTGTTTTAAAAATTTATTTAATGTTTCTTAATCCAGTAGTAAACATAGTTTAAGCAATGTTGCTTTACAGTATAGTGCTGTGAGAGTCAAAGCTGCAAATTAAATTTCTATGTTTTCTTCCCTTCATGTTACTACCATATTACAAAAATTTTATAGATTGCATTTGTAATTCTTGTTCAATTTCACAAATACCATCTATTGGTCAAGGTGAGGACCCCCAAAATAAAAATCTAAGGGTACCCTTCTATAACCTGTTGCTACTGCTACTATTGGTAAACACAATTAAAACATGTGCTCTGATGACATTTATTGATTAGCATATTTTTTCAACAAAACATTATTTTAAAAAAGCATGAGGCTGTCTTTCCTTTCCCCTTCACTGAATAGGTAGATTACTATTTAAGGGTATTACATAGTAAGCTAATTTTTAAAAAACTTTTAAAACATAGAGAAAAAAATCACACATTGCTTTAAGAGCTACTTCATCATTATTTAAAATTACCTGTAGTTTGATTTCAAATACATTTTGAATAAGTTTAGCCAGTACTGTCTCTGGATTACTAAAGATATCTCCAACTTGCTTGTTCACCCGTTGACAGAGTATTGCTGCATCTTCAAATATATCATTTCTCAAATAAGCACCCTAAATAGCAGAGGCATTTTACATAGTGAATAATGAATTTTTAAATGGCTTTTAAAACACAAATTAACATAAAATAAAGTGAAATCCAATAAAGTATACTGTTATGTTACCTCCTGGCACTGCTTTATATAAACATCAACACAATGGGAATAACCCTATGAAGAAGAAAGAAATATGTTATCACTGTTCTGGTTAAATGATAATAATAATCTCAATAAAAGAGGTATTAGACAGGGTGGGGCAAAAGTTGTTTATGTTGTAAGTACACAAAACAGAGTTTATTCTTGTATTATTATTTGTTAATATTTTCCATACAAATAAATCTTTTGTCCCAACTTCTATGTAGTAAAGCTATGACTATGTCCCAAGGAATGGCCAATAGTTATCGGGCTTGAAAGAAGAAAACAGAGGTATAACTGGTTCTTTATAGTCATTTTACCCAGTCACCACCTAGTTCTCCTTCAAATCTAAAACATAAGCAACTAGCACACACACTCACAGACTGAAGGTCTTGAGAAGGTTTTATGTATCTATCTTTCCTGTCTTGAATTCAAAGCAGAGAGTCATATTTAACTGACATTGTGGAAATTTACTTTAAAAACTGGATCCATTTAACAGAATGTGTTTAATATTTTTTTCATTGCTTTTAGAGAGAAGTGGGGAATGAGGTGGGCAGAGAGAGATAGATAGAGGTTGTCTTCCCATACACACCCCACAGGACAATGGTCCAACCAACTGAGCCACACCAGCCATGCATGAATGAAATGTATTTAAATAAAACAATCTGTCATATTAAGCTCAGTATGAGATTTTTGCTTATTAGCAAATCATACATATAAACAAGTAAGGTAAGCAACAGAAAGTATAATATTGTCTCAGGAGCCATTCTTTCTTTTTTAACTGAATTATTGGGGTGACATTGGGTAATAAAATTCTGTAGGTTTCAGGTGTACAATTCTATCATCACCTTAAGTCAAGTCTCCCTCCATCACCATTTATCCCCCTGTAACTTCTACCTCCCCCTACCTCCTTTCTCTCTGGTAATCGCCATCTGTTGTCTCAGTCTATGAGTTTCTTTTATTTATTTTTATTTTTGTTTTTTGCTTAATCCCTTCACGTTTTCCCACCAGTTCTGCAAAATCAAGAGCCATTCTTAATACTTAAATATGGTACTTAAATGAAAAGTACAACAAATGGCTTTTATTTCCCTAATCTGATATAAATGTAAAGAAACATACTGAAGGAAGCACTATTTCTTTAAGCATTCTGTTTACAGAAATGCATTCCCATACAGGAATTCTCTTCCTAATTCAAATTATAGGAAGACAGTTCCATAATAGAATATTCCTTTGTGTTATCACCTGAGATCCTCTGAATTTAATTTAAGTCTTTTACTAGTCATATTCCATCTACTCCATGGTTCCTACATTCCACCAGATATTTAAGGTCAAGTCTTCTTGCTTTTGACCTATTTCATATCATCCTACATTCCACCAGATATTTAAGGTCAAGTCTTCTTGCTTTTGACCTATTTCATATCATGCTTGACTGAAAAAAAATACATTATAAACCAAGAAGGCAAACCATATGATTTTCTATGTCAAACTAAATAAAAATTCATATATAGCTTGATATATACTAATATCAAATATATATTAATGTTTGATAAAATATTGTTATGAACTATAAAATACCTATTTTAATAATATTAAATACCTAAAATTCAACACCACTTAAGGAAAGAGCTATGACATGTACAGTCACATTATTCAAAACAACAGAAGTTATCACTGTGAAATCACACCACTAATAGGGGAAAATCAGAGACTATAATACATAGAATTTATATAACCTCCACAGTCTCAAAAACTAATCTTCATTTTAAATTTTTACTATTTACCTTAAAATGAAGTAAAACTGCTGCTACTTCTCTCATTCTGGAGATTTCACCTCTTCTTTGAGCACTAGTAAACTCCTGAATCAGTTGGCATTCTAAATCGTGGTATTTACCTAAAAATAAAATTTAAAAAAGTCATTCAGCTACAATGAGACAGACACAGTATCTAAGTTATTTGCCAGTATATGAATTATTTATAAATATAATGACTACGGATCTAGCCTTCTTTTGAAAGAATTACAAAATAATATGAGATTACAGGCAGTAGAATCTAGACCCTACATACAATATACTATTGGTATATAAGTCTGTATTTTTAAGGCACAAAATCTTCCTAAGCTAATAAAACAGCGGAGTTCTCATAGTTTGACTGTTATTTACCACTATTACTTCAAAAAGCAGCTGACTGGGAAATACCTCCCAGATAGGGAAAATCTGAAAAGCTACAGGAAGGGAGAGGACTATAGAAACTTTTACTTGAGTTCAGATGCCTTTACCTTGAACAATGGTGGATTCAACATCAAATTTCACCTTAAGATAAAATGTGATATTTGATTCATTACATTCTTGAGGCTATTATGGTTCTGAATAATTGAACTTTGGACTAATCTATAGTGATCACAAATATTGCAGGTAAGTCCAAGTGCCAACCTTTCTGTAACACTTTTGGGAAAACAGATAGCTCTTTGAACCTTCTATGATAATGGTCTCTCGAACAGTGACTCAGGCTATCACAAGAGCCTGCAAATACAGTGGCTGTTCCAGAAATCTGGAATGATCTGCCTAAAATATAATCCAAAGATTGGTAAGAATTAAATTAATCATATAAGGAATTAAATAGGTACTAAAATGCTCATATGAGCTTAGCTTTTAAAAAATAACTTACTTCAGAGATACATGTATGAATACAAAACAATCTTCAAAATATATTGTTAAAATAAAAAAGGGAGGTAAAAGTCACTTGTATAGTATGCTAATTATTTAAAAATAAACGGGGATAGAACTAAATTTTACACATGTATACGTGATTTATGTTCTATGCTTGTACACCCAAATGCTCTGGAGGAATACCAAAGGAAGCTGGCCATGGTTGTTTCAAGGAAGAGCAATCAAACTCAGGGACACCAGGGAAGGGTGACATTGTTTCCACTAACCCTCCTCTTACTAATTTTTTCTCTTACACAAGTAATTTACTACTTGTTCAAAACAGTTAAATAAATAGAACCCCACTTACTTGCAATTTTGGATTTTACATCTGAAAATCTGAAAAAATAAAAACCAATGATGAAATCCATTAGTTGTGACAAATGTACCAGACTAATATAAAATAAAAATAAAAGGAGAAACTGAGTTTGGAGATATATGGCAATCCTTTGTATTAAATGTCATCATAAAAAAAAAGGAAAAAAAAAAGACAAAACCAGAAGGCAGTGAGTATTGACAAAAAGCACACCAGGTGACAAAACTAAATTTCAACAATTCAGATGGGGTATTCAGAAACTAAATATCACAAACCAGACTAGAATTTTTTCAAATATTAAATATCAAGAGGGATGCATATGATGGAAAACTGATGCTGAGAGACCCTATATAATCAGTTTGAAGAGAGAAGAAAGTAGCTGGCAAAAGAGATGCCAAAGAAAGATTAAAAAAGTCATAAAAATTTAGAATTATCCAAAATTGATATACAGTCATGTGCCACTTAATAACAGGAACACATTCTGAAAAATGGTCCCTTGGGCAATTTCATTGTTGTGTGAACATCACAGAGTGCACTTTCACAAACCTAGACGGTATGGCCTACTACATGGCTATACTATATTGTATAGCCTACAACTTAGTAGAGGCTAAAACAAAACTGTAAGAGAAGTATATAACTGTATAACTGAGAAGTGGAAGAAGATGAGTATATGCACGTGTGTTTTATAGAGGAAGCAGGAGAGAGGGAGGGGTGGGAGGGGTAGTCAACAACTAGTATGCACCTATCATGAGTCACACATTTTACCATTTAAGTAAATGGCCTAACTATGAAATGCCATAAAGTTAAAACAGAGGTTTTTGTGGGTCACTTTAAAAACAATTACTCAACATACTGGGCAAGTATGAGATTATTAGTAACAGTTAAGTAACAGATGACCATTACTGCTAATACTTAATGAAGACACAGAGTTGAGAGTAAAATAGGATATATTTTGGGGGTATGTTTGGGGTACTCAATCTCTATGTTTGGAGTATAACAGTAAAGCTTTAAGTATAATAATAAATTTACATTTTACCTGTACCTGAGGACCTTCCAATATTACCAATAACAGATTAAACTGTCTGTCATATGGGAAGGCATATTTCTTTCAAGATATTTATATGAGGAAACCACTGCTACCAATATTTTATTAAAGAATCTAACATTCCATGGACTAAAGGAAATCATGTAAAATTTTTTGGCTCAATGAATTTTTTTTTAGAATAAAACCATGATTACCTGACTTAGCAATGGCCCCAACGCTTTGTAACTAATGCAAGGGTTCTTAACCTCAAGTCCCTAGGGAGGAGTTTGCAAATAAGCCAGTTAGTATAAAATTCCATGAAACTGTATACAACAATCTGTGTATCTGAAATTTTTAAAGAAACTTTAGAGCTTTCATCCACTTTTCTTTTTTCTTTCAAACAACACTCAATTTCTTTTTATCCTCTCCCAAGGATATGTTTAATGACTTTTTAGAGAGAGAGGAAGGGAGAAGTAGAGAGAGAGAGAGACACACCAATGTGAGGAACATCGCTCAGCTGTCTCTCTCATATGTGCTCCAACAGGGGATCAAACCCCAAACATACTTATGCACCCTGACAGGGATCAAACCTACAACCTTTTAGTGCACAGAAATGTTCAACCAACTAAGTCACTGGGCCAGGGCTCATCAGCTTCCAAAGGTACCTTAGGTCTTAAAAAACTTAAGAACTTTCATCTAGAGACTGGAAAAAGCAGCTGAATGATCCTATGCTTAACCTCTCCCTATCTTCTCCCACCTTGGCTGTCAAAGTCCAAAAAATTAAAATTCAAACTCTTGTTTTAGTAAATTTCAAAACTCTCCCATCATTTTTTCCCCAAAAGGAAAACAAAGGATTGAAGTTATTTCAAGGTGTATTACTAGGTTTAGAAACTGAGACCATATCTTTTCATTCAATTACGATACACTATACCTTGTATAAAGGAGGTATTCTATAAATCCTTGTTGAATTAATGAGCAAAGTCATACAGGGAAAAATACAAGTTTATTCTATGAATTGTACCATATATTCAAATTGGCTCTTGAAAAATAAACTTGCCTATCAAAAGGTAACTCTTGGGCGATTAGGTGCAACTTCTGAATGATATCTGCTGCCTCCTTTATCTGTAAAAATAAAAGCAGTAATTTTTTAAAAACTCTTATAAATATGTTTATACTTGAAAATAATAATACTTCCCTATATATACCCACAAACCCTCACTCAAACAATTTTCTTTTAAAATCCACAACAAATAAAGTATTCTTAACAATAGGTATACATCTAGGGTATCACCAATGAGTTAATAAAGCATATATTTGTCATTCTGGCACCAAGATCTTATGATTTTATAGTGTTACAATCACGTTCCCAATGAAACCTGTAGTTCATTTATTTTGAAAAATTTCAACTCACTGCTTACTGAAAGCAGAAGTGTAAGTTTCTTCTGAGTTTATGAATCCAAAAAGGATAAACAAGATTTAAGGAAATTACTCAGATCACACTGCTGCATACATTCAACTTTAAGCTAAGTGAATAAAACAACAAAAATGCCACTTTAACTTATCAATGATTTAGGTCAGACAACCCTCACCCAGCAAAATGTAACTACTCAAAAACTACAGAAATTCTGTTATTAAAAATCAATTATAGAAAATAAATACTCAACAGTTAGCTCAGCATTTCTAAACCACACATAATTTCATAAAGAAAAATGCCAAGCAATCCAATTAAAAATTAGAATAAAAATACTTCATCAGCAATCTGTAGGCAAGCATACTAACTTACATTTTAAAACAATAACTTTTAAGAAGTTAGCTACTCAGTGATTTGAAGTTCTTCTCTGGAAAGTAGTAATTGCAGTTTATAATTAAGACATTGTTATTAATGCTGTAGTTTGCTTTTATCCTTCTGATAGTGCTCACCTTTTCAGAATTTGTAAAAACATCAGATTTCAATTCTCCATCCAGAAACTCATTAAAGTATTTCATCAATTTCTGAGCTTCCACTGCTCGCTGTCTGGGTGTGTTTACCCCTTCCAACTGGTCTCCAAGGTGACAGACCTTGGTTGCTACATAGCTAATGTGTTCATCTAGTTCTTGGAAATGTTGGAAGGCAACCTAGGAAAAAAATGTACGTAAGCATAAAATACAATGGCATAATCCAGTACTTATAATACAATGACAGCACCCAGAATTAACTTATAATTTGTATCAAAATTAACACACCAACTCATCACTACTCTCAAACTTATGTAGCTAAAGATAACACAGAAGTTATATATGAGTTGATCTACAAAAACAATTCATGCTCATTAGATCAGTACATAATCTAAAAACTTTTAAAAAGTTGCAGACTTTTATACTTTTAACTATTAAAATCATATTTTATCATGAATACACTTGCTAATCAACAAGATAGAAAACCAAAGTTCCCAGTACCACTAACTCACAAACAAGTCTGATAACAATGAACTAAGGATCAAAGAGACCAAGTTATCTGAACAACTCACTTGCTACTACACTGAGTCAAAAATGTTGGAAGGGAAACTGATTAAAAAGAATATTTAACATATCTTTATTTTAAATATCTTAAGAGCAATGCTAGTATCCTAAACAAGGTAAAATATTTTTTTTGCCCAGTTTTGAGAACAGAAAAGATAATTATTCTACTTAGGCTAAGGTACATTACTTCCTAGAATATCCCTTTTCCCAGGGTACAATGACTGTCCTGTGGAAGATAAAAACTATGTAGCATGAATGAATGCCTTAGAATTGCCAATAACAAAATTGCTGATAATTCAGTATGATATTTTTGTTCTAACCTTAAATTGAGCAGGGAAAGCTGCAAACATATACTAAGGACTTCCTCTGTGCTAGACACTGTTCTAAGCATGTTACATTTGTTTATTGTAATTAATTCTTACAACAACCTATTTTATATGTAGATAAAAAAACTGAGGCAAAGATTGAGTTACTTGAGTTTATACAGCTAATATTTGGCAGAGCACATTAGCTTTAGAACTTGTTAGATTAACTATTAATACTATTATTATAATCAAGGGAAAACTACCTTAGAAGTATTTGGAATCTATCACCTTAACTATTTAGAAATAATTTTCTATCTTATGCAATTTACTTTTTTATTAAATATTTTCTCGCAGTCAAATATCCTTACGCGAAGGACTCTAACTTAATAAATCTGAGCAGAGATCAATCAGTTTGCTAATCCCTAACATCAAAAAACAGTCTCTGGGAGGCAGCAGAGCTAAACAATGTTCCTCAACTTATACACTAAAAAAGGGAAATCAAGTTCTAGATCAGGCCCAGGTTGTGAAAGGCATTTGGGGGTTCCAGACTAAGTGTAGGGCCTAAGAAGATTGGTCTATTTAGCCCTAGGGCCAGTCTAGTAATTTGTTTTTAATCCAAAATGTACTAAAGAAGAATTCTGCACCTACTTTTCCTGTAGTTACATTATAATTCTTATTAGGACACACTTCATGACTGGTGAAACTTCCCAGACCAGGGTCCCCCTGGGGAAAAACCTTATCCAGGCAACAGTTAGTCTGGTAGTACTTTGATGATTACATGAGAATGCAAATGACTACCTAAATGTCCAACCTAACAATGAACCCCTGAAGATACAGGCCTCCTGAAACATCATTCCCAAAACGTTGCATTGTTAGAGGGGAAGCAAGGACCACACTGTACTGGAGAGCACCCCATCCTAAGAAGGGACTGCTATGATCCCAAACCAACAACACCCACTGCCAAGAGTATCTAATAACAACTCACTAAAATTTTATCCAATGGCATGGGAGCAATAGAGAGAAATTTAATAGGTGCTATAAGTTGATACGATTAAAATTTTTTTATTTATAGTTAGAGAGAGAGGAAGGGAAGAAGAGAAACATTAATGTGTGGTTGCCTCTTGCATGCCCCCAAGTGGGGACTTGGCCTGCAACCCAGGTATGTGCCCTGACTGGGAATTGAACCAGTGACACCTCGGCTCCCAGCCTGCGCTCAATCCACTGAGCTACACCAGCCAGGGCCCAAAACGAGATTTTTATTAAGAACTTAAAGCTGGAAGGAAATAAGGACATTATAGCTATATAAACTATTCATTGTTCAGCTAAGTATTTACCTGATTGCTTTTCTGGAGCTCTTGCACCTTCTTGGCAAATTCCTTGGCTTCTTTCTGACACTGTTGCTCTAGTTTCTCTACCTTCCTTTGAATCCTTTCATCCATTATCTGTAGTTCTTGAATATGATTTACAAATTCTTCTAATAACCTAATAGAGAAAAATGAGAATATGTATAAACCCACCTGTTTAATTTTAGGAACTAACCAGTTCATTGTAAATTAAGTAATAATAGGATGATCATGTTAATCTTCTCTATAGCGTCTTGTTGGGATCATCACAGACATGAATAAAAACCTCACCTAGAATCTCCATTAACCTCCAAAACAAAACCAATTTCAAAGAAACAGTCAAAAGGTAAATGTACTATATAAAAATAATATTGTGCATTCCGGGGTACATTGACTTTCTGTTCCCCCAATTTACGGCTAAAAACAATACATTTGACATGTTTTTATTACCAACTCTAATTTATTACTAATTGGAGAAAATATTAAATTCTTACACAGTGACAAAATCCCTTCTCTCATACCAGTTAAAGTCCTTCTCTAAAATAAAAGGAATGTAAAGGGGGGGGAAATCAGTGCCCAACTTCTAATGTTTATGTCTTTTTAATGACCAATTATTAACTGATACACCTTTACATGAACTTTATAAGAAATTCCAACAGTCACATCTATTTCAAACACAAATTTGTACTAGATCAAGTCTATGAAAAAAATTTACTTCACCTTTTAGGATCAAAAGCTTCAGATCCCCCTCTAGAGCCTCCTCCTGGGGTTCTCCATACAAGACGTTCAATATACTCGTCTGCCACAAAAGGCTCCTAGTTAACAAAATAAATGTTCTTTTAAAATTTTTTCATAGAATATAATACCACTTACAAAAATGAAACAGGTTCTACCATGTGAGAACTTAAAATTAAATTACTAATACCAGTTAAAACATCCTAACAGAAAAGTGTACGAAGGACACAATTTATAGAAGAAATACAAATGGTCAAGAAACACAAAAAATATGATGAAATTTCACCAGTAATCAAATCAGGTAAAATTATCACACTGTTATCTCACAGTGACAAAGTCTTTTTTAATTATATGTAGTGCAGGAAAGGGAAAGCTGAAATTCACACTCTCATCACTGCCTGGAATGTTAACAGGCACAGTATTTTTGTGACCTTTGAAGGGCAATAAGTAATACTTCAGTAACATCAACAGTATTACAAATGTCCTTATACCTTAACCCACTAATTCTACTTTTAAAATGTTAAGGGAAAAGCAGATATGAGCACAAAAATTTTTGCAGAATGTTCACTGAATACGATACACATTAAAAATTTTTCTACATAAATTTTCAACAAAATCATTATTGAAAAATTATGGTAAACTTATAAGGTAAAAAGCTATGTTGCTATTAAAATCATGTTATAAAAATTTAATGAAATGAGAAAAATGCTCACATAATATCTGATGAAAAAAGCAGTTCTCAGAAACAAAACTTTCTCAGAAAAAAAAATATTAATTGAAAAACAAAAATAGAAGGACCAATCAAAAAATGTTCAAATGTTCACCATCAGTTTAATAATTTGTTTTTATATTAATATATACTAATTTACCTACTTCCCATACTACCCAATTGCAAATGAACATCATATATTGCCTCCCACTTAGCATGTAACTTAGGCTGGTAGCATTTCCTGGTGATTCCAGTTTAAATTCTTATACCTGTAAAACTTTCCACTTGTTAATCATACTTTTAAAACATTTTTACTGATATGCATTCATTGAACAAAAATTTCAGTGTCAAGCACTCTGTTAGGCTTCAGAATAAAATAAGATGTATAAAACATAAATTGTACCTCTGAGAAACTTGTAATCTAACAGAAAAAAAATATATGTGTGTGTGCAATAGTATATAGTAAGTAATTTTTAAAATGCATTCACAAACCTAAGTATTAAAATTGAATGAGTTGTTATAACTCAGTAAGTAGTTGGGAAATAGAAATAGGATAACTCATTAAGTCAGCAAATGTTCACTGAGCACCTACTATGTGCTGGGGAAGGTGGTAGGTGCTAAGAATATAGATGTGAATTCAACAGACAGAATCACTGCAAGGCCTCATAGAAATGATCTTCTAAGAATGTCAACATTAAGCAAATAATTATAAAAATAACAAATTTCAATTGTGATAAATGTGGGAGACTTCCAGTTAAGATGGAGGTGTAGGCAGACATCCTTTGCCTTCATGTACAACCATAAGAAGAATCACACCTAACCTCAAAACAAAGTAACACCCAGAGCTGCTAGAAAATTGAACTGTATGGAAGTCTGACAACCAAGGATTTGAAGAAGACATATTCATCCAAACAGGTAGGAGGGGCAGAGACAGGGAGCCAGTCAGTACGGTGGCAGTGATGTGGCAGCAGCATTGGTGGAACAGGTGGTCTTACATTTACTTGTGGTGGACAAAAATTGGGAGGGCTATCTTGGGAGGGAGGGATAGCTTGGGAGGAAGGGATACCAGCCCCAAGCCAGACCGCCCAGCACAGGATTCAAGCACTAGGAATTAAAGCCTCATAACTTCTGGCTGTAACAACTAGTGGGGTTTGGGGCAGTGGAAGAAACTGCCAGTCTCTCAGTAGAGTCCAGTTAAATGGCCCACACAGCCCTAGAAAGTAGGCAAGCCCACCCACTATGGAAACCACCAACAGGGCAGCACCAGGAAAGGCAGCGGTATCATACAGGAAGGAGATGGAGAAAATGGAAGTGGGGTGAGTGCTGAGCAAGCCTCCAGCAGCCAAGCAGTGGCTCTGTTGCCTCTTCAATCCTTTCTCCACATACAGAGCTACAAAGCAGTGAAGCAGGTTGCCCCACCCTGAAGAATACCTAAGGCTCTAACCATACAACTTAACTGGTACCCTAAGACAGGGAATCAAAGTTCTACCTTACACATGGAAACAAACACAAGGAGGCTGCCAAATAGAGGAGACCAAGAAATACTGCCCAAATGAAAAAAAAAACAGGACAAAACCCCAGAAAAAGAACTAACTGAAATGGAGACAGCCAACCTATCAGATGCAGAGTTCAAAACACTGGTGATAAGGATGTTCAGAGAACTCACTGAGCACAGCAAACATATAAAAGAAGAAATGAAGGCCACACTAAGTGAAATAAAGAAAAACCCACAGGGAACCAACAGTAAACAAAAGGAAGTCAGGGTTCAAGTAAACTATTTGGAACATAAAGAAGAAATAAATAATCAACCAAAACAGAATGAAGAAACAAGAATTCAAAAAAACAGGGAGAAAATAAAAGACTCTATGACATCTCTGAAAGTGCCAACTTCCAAATCACAGGGATGCCAGAACAAGAGAAACAACAAGAAGTTGAAACCTTATTTCAAAAAATAATGAAGGAAAACTTTCCTAACTTGGCAAAGGAAATCGACGTAGAAGTCCAGGAAACACAGAGAATCCCAAATAAGTTGGACCCAATGAGAACCACAAGACACATCATACTTAAAATGCCAACGGTTAAAGATAAAGGGAGAATCTTAAAAGCAGCAAGAGAAAAGCAGAAAGTTACCTACAAAGGAGTTCCCATAGGACTATGAGCTAATTTCTCAAAAGAAACTTTGCAAGCAAGAAGGGACTGGCAAGAAGTATTTACAGTGATGAAAAGCAAAGACTACAACCATGATCACTCTACCCAGAAAAGCTATCATTTAGAATGGCAGGGCAGATAAAGTACTTCCCAGAGAAAGTAAAGCTAAAGTTCACCATCACCATGCCCTTAATTATATGAAATGTTAAAGGCACTTATTTAAGAAAAAGAAGATCAAAATATGAACATTAAAATGACAACAAACTCACAGCTATCAACAACTGAATCTAAAAAAAACAAACTAAGCAAACAACTAGAACAGGAACAGAATCATAGATATGGAGATCATTTGGAGGGCCATTAATGGAGAGGGGGATGGGGAAGAATGGGGAAAAGGTACAGGGATTAAAAAGCATAATTGGTAGCTAAAAACAGACAGGGGGAGGTTGAAAACAGGGTAAGAAATGCAGAAGCCTAAGAACTTATATGCACAACCCATGGACATGAACTAAGGGAGATGGATGATTGCTGAAGGGAAGGAGAGTACTGGACAGAGGTGGAAAAAGGGAGAAAAAACTGGGGCAACTGTAATAGCACAATCAATAAAATACACTTAAAAATGTGATAAATGTGATGGAAAGAAAAGTCCTGTATATTTTAAGAGTATACAGAGGTGTGCAATTCCAAGTATGTGAAAGAATTTAATATATAACAATATATATTATTATATATACGATAAGTTTATTCTTGTATTATTACATATTAATTATTGTATTGATTATTATTAACATCCTTTGCCCACCCTGTGTAAGAGAAACAGAAAAGGATAGGAAGATGGTGAGGGACAGAAGAAGAATGGCAAAAAGTGGTGCTGTAACAAGTAAACTCTCTGTGAACATGATACTAAGCTGATACCAGAGGAAAGTAGAAAATTCAGCCAGACAGAAATGGAATAAATAGTATTCCAGACCATTATGGAAAGAAAGACAGAGCTTAACCCATCAGAGGACTGAGACGTAAGCATGGACTAGATGACAGAAACCACATGTGGAAGGGATCCAGTTAAGACCAATGGGTGATAAGCTTGTACTTTTTATCATCACCATTATTATCATATTGGGCACTTGGTCTATACAATAAGGGCTATTACAGTGGGGAAATCTAACTAGAAGTCTTTGAAATTGCCCCTCTCTAACTCAATGTAGTAAATCATGTGGGATGACAAAAAATTAGAACTATTCTTAAGGCTCTAAAGCAAAGATCAGCAAATTTTTCCTTAAAAAGGCCAGACAGTAAGTATTTTAGGTTTCTAGGCCAGTCTCTGTTACAACCATTCAACCCTGCCATTATAGTACAAATGCAGCTATATATAATATACAGACAAGTGGGTATGGCTGTGTATCAATTAAACTTTAAAAACGGGCCTCTATACCATGAGCTGTAAGTTTACTGACTCCAGATCTAAAGAATGCAGGTGTGGTTTTACTCATCATTTTCATCAGTCTGGATTTTTCAGAACCAGACAAATCTGGAGGATAACTACCTCAAAATCAACCAATGCATTATGGTACATAGCCAATGATTTGGCAGTTATATATTTTCTACCCCTATCAGCAAAGAGGATCAGACAATTCACAGTCACACAGAACTGACAACAGTATACATTTAGTTTTGCTTCAAGGCAGTGTGAACTTTCCTACACTGTATTATAACATTATCTGTACCATAGGACATTCTCAGAACATCTTATTAACCCATACTAACTGACATCACAATAATTGGGCTGGGTTAAGCAAGCAGTGGCTAACACACTGGAGGAGCCTTGATATAATCCTTATACTCCAGAGAGTGGGACATAACTGCACAAAGATTCAGCGGTAAAGTGAATCAATAAAATTTTTAAGGTTGTCAGGGGCATGCTGGACATCTCATCCAAAATAAAGAACAAATTGTTGCACCTCCTGTAACAAAGAAGGACATGCAACACCTGGTAGACTTTTTTGCCGTTCTAGAGGCAGCATAATCCACACCTGCTCTGGCACATATACCAGGTGATACAAAAGCAGAAAAGGGTTCTGCAAATGTGGAGGCCATAAAACCAACCCTGGTTGTCTGAGCCATACAACTTAGCAGACCCTATAGTGTTACAGTAATCAGTATTTACTAAAGTATTAAAGGTATCAGTGTTAAGAAACGATGTCATATGGAGTTATGGCAAGGTCC